CACTGTATGTTTTTACAAGGTGTATGGATATCAGTTGCATGGAGGTGTGGTAAGCGGTTCACCCCTGGTATTTTTGTTCCTGACATGTTGATAAGTTGGTTAGTCTTCAGATTTAAATCAGACGATCTTCTTAATATTTGGACTTCTATTTTCTTTATAACAATATGATTATTATGGGAGGAGCGAAATAGGAGAATCTTTCAGTCCAAGTTTATAAGCAGGGAACATATTGTTAACCGAATTTCATCACATATTAAGGAGTTGCCAGATGCAAAAAAGTGTGTTTTTCATTTATTAGAGAGAGCAATCATTGATAATCTCCAAATCACCTGCTGTCAATAGAAACCTAGATTTATTATTCCGGTGGTGTGGTCATTCCCTAAGCCCTAGTATTTCAAGTTGAATATCGATGTTGCTTTTTAGAGAGCCCAGGTTTGGCAAGTAGTGGTGGTATTATCAGAGAAAGTAACGGTGCTTTTGTCGCTGCATTTTCTAAGCCATTTGGATATGCCTTTGCTCTTGAGGAAGGTATTTGTCTGGCTATCCAAAAGGAATGCTTTCCCCTCAAGTAGAAAGTGATTCATCCCTACTTGTAAGTATCATTCATGATCGTTGTCGAGTCCCATGGAGATTACATACTATTGTAGCTAACTGTCGGAGTAGACATTCAAATCGTATATTGTCAATTTTCCATAGTTATCGTAATGCCAATATGGTAGTCGATGCCCTTGCTAAGAAGGCTTATTTTGCTTCTAGAGCTACTATTTTTGCTTTCAACCGTCAGTTATTATTTCCCTGCTTTTATTTCATGATTTAGCGCAATTGCCCTTTTATAAAGTTGTAATATAATAAACTATTTCTTTTTGAATTTTTATTAATGAAAAATGGGTAGGGGGTTCTCTGCTCCACTGACTTACCTAAAAAAAAAAAAAATATAAGTCATGTCTCTCTCTGACTACTGGCTGTTTTTTCTCTCTCTAACGCCTTTCTCACTCTAAATGTACCTTTTCTCTCTCTAATGCCTTTCTCTCTGTAGTTCCTCCCTCTCTAACTATGTGCTCTCTCCAACTCTCTCTAACCATGCCCTTTCTCTCTCTAGTCGTACTTTTTCTCTCCACAAATTGTTTCCCTCTAATAGCACCTCTTCTCTTTCTAACTCCTTTGCTTTCTAATCATCCCCTTTCTCTCTCTAAGAGTGAAATTTGTCTCTCTATCTAATTGTATCATTTCTCTCTAAATTTATTCTTCTCTCTTCAACAACTTTATCTCATTAAACATGCATTTTTTTCTCTCTCTATGAAAAAAAAAAGTATATATTGTGTATCAGGTTAATATAGAAGGTTTATATTATAATTAATATATGTGGGTAGGACATGTATAATATCTTGTATTTTATTATAAGTCTGGATATAATGTAAGTGTGTGAATTATTTCAATTCTTGTCATCTGTATTTGTCTATATAAAACAAGCTTGTATATTTATATTGATTAATAGATATAGAGAGTCTCTAACCAGAGATCTTCACATATATAACTCTTTTTCTCTCTTTAAATGTCCTCTCTTTATAAGTTCTTGTCTCTCAATGCAAAATACCCATATCGTGACCCAAATAGGGCATATATATTATTTCACCTCTTACTCCTTATGTCTAAGGTTATGAATCCCATAACATATAAAAATCCCTTAGATGCCAGAGTTCTAATACAATTGGACTTCATTGGGTATTCCAACTAACTTATGGAACTTATTAATATCAATTGCACGTAACATTAATTTTTATATGGGGTAATTTTGAATATCACTATATCGAATATTTCTTCCTTTAATTTTTACTCTTTCTATCTGTATCCTTTTTTTTTATCTAATCATGCCCTTTCTCTCTATCACCTCTCTTATATCTCTCTCTACCCGTAAAGCTTCATCTCTATTAGGCTTCAATAATCACTGTGAAATACAACAATTATATTTGACTATTAAAGACTTTCCAGACAAGTTATTAAAAAGTAGTTAAAAATTTTTTAAATATTAGGTTTAACTTTGTGGGATTTAGAACTTATAGGCTCCAAGAACTTCTAATTACCTAATGCGACCAAAAGAGATACCGTTAGTTTGAGCTTAATTCCTGAAAATGGAAAATTCATGGCACTTATTACAAAGGACCCCTCGGTTAAGACTTGAGAGAGTTAAAAAGAGATTTGGTGTGGAGCACAATTTGGGCACTATTAGTGATAAATGGAGATGGGTTATTGATGAATAAAGAAAGGGAAAAGTTTATATAGAGCCGAAGCTCAAAACAATCAAATTTGAGCGTACCTAAAACATTTCGTTAGAAGAAGTTGTTTTGATGTTTAAATATTCTCAAATTGATCATCTCGACATCTGAATGAATGGACATCAGGAAAAAAAAATGAATTTCAAGTTTTAGAAATTGTGTATTTTGTAATGTATTTTTGGACCGTCAATTTTCAATATTTTCAAGATTTTATCGATCTGTCGATCAGCACTATTTTTGAAGCTTTAAACTTTATAAGTAAGGATGAAAATATATTTTAAGGCTATCACAAATATTTTCAGTATTGAAACCATATTTCTCGATGCTATCTAAATGTAAGCTCTAATTTGATTGTTTAGAGCCTAGGCTCTATACCAATCGCACCATAAAGATAAGCATTTTTTTCTTTTTTTTGCGTAAAAAGCGATACCCTTAGTTTAAGTTTAATTCCTGCAAATGAAAAATGGCACTTACTAGCAGGGACCCCATAAGGATGGGGGCTTGCTGACTACCTACCTGCCGCCATGCCCTGGTGGGTCAGATCGTGTGCTCACGTCCAATAAATTGATATCCAAATTAGCATCACAATCAATGTCTCGCTGGATCTACAAAGCCTGACCTAAAAATGCCATCAATATTCTTCTATATGACACATTGCTCCATGCTTTTCTTACAAATGCCTAGGACATGCGCAAATTCTTTTTGTTGGCAAGATCCTCAAGGTGCGGTTTGTACAGTGCCGAGGCTCTAAATAATCAAAGTAAAGCACACATTCAAATAGTGTTGACAAATGTAGTTTTAATAATAAAAGTTTTTGTGAGAACTTTAAAATTTAGTTTTATTTTTAATTATAAAATTTAAATCTAAAAAATAGTGTATATCAAGCCGATCTATGAAAGATCGAAAATTTTGAAAATTGACGGTCAAAAATGTGTTACAAGCTATACTATTTCCAAAACTTGAAATCTATTTTTTTCTCATGTCCATGCATCTTGATGATGAGATGATCAATTTGAAGATATTTAGGCATCAAAACAACTTCTAATGAAATTTTTGAGGCAAATACTAATTTGATTGTTTAGAGCCTCTGCTCTATATAAATTTTTCCCTTCCGGGTCTGTGCCACAAAATGTGGCCAGAAGGCTGGCCTTGGATCGACCCTGAGGGGAATAGGCCCATTGCGAGCAATAATTGATATATTCAGAACCGGTGATTAATTCACCGGTCAGCCCAATCCAAATTAAATAACACGTAAATAAGTCAATCTAAATCGGACCGTCCATAATGGTTTACCAAAACTAGTCGATTCAAATTGGTTTTAGCTCTCAGTCGGAGCTAGCTTGTATCGGTCTTAATTACACTTATGGGAAGAAGACGTTATTATACCCCATATTTTATATTAAGAAAAAAAGAAGCTATTATATCCGATTTTTCTATTTCCTTTTACTAACGAAGGAAGGAGGCTCACATTTTTTTCTTGTTTATTTCATAACTTATTGGTGGGAATATTTGGAAAACTCAACTTTAGTCTTAATTTCTCTCTTCTTCTTCTCTCTCTTTTTTTTTTTTAAGCGAGAAATATACATGGTTCAATGTCACTTACGTCGCCTCATATTTGGCTATGGAAGGCATCCTCAATGTATTTTCAATTCTATTTATAAACTAGGATCCCTAAAAAAGGAAAATAGAAAAAACCAAAGAAATAAAAGATAAACCAAATAAGGCATTCAAAAAAGTTTAACCAAGAGATAAAAACTTTGTGGCTCAATCGAATATTCAACAATTTTGTCTTGAATATATTTTGAGGGCTTGGACTTGTGTGGCAGACATTTAACAATGCTGTATCTCAAGTTTGATTCCTACATCTGAACTACCCAATAAAAATGCCAAAAGATATTCTACTCCTGCAACTGTCGTGTGTCAATTTACTCACTTAGGTATAACTTCACCTAAAATTAATTTTAGGGCTTAAAATTTGAGGATGTAACATCTTCAAACTATAGATAAACCTCAATAAATTTTTTTTAAATTGCAATTGCACTTGCACTTGAAAAATTAGTATCACGAGATTTAATAGAGATCATCCAATTTTTACATGGTGAGATCTAAGTTTAAAAAACTCAAATTTCAAATTATTATTCGAGAATAACATCCAGTAATTTTTAAATCGTTCTCAAATTTTCATATTGAAAAAATCTCCTAAGTAGGTCTTAGGTCTTCTGAGCAGAAATCCACTGCGCTCCCGAAAGAGCGTAATATACGTGCTCAACAAAATTCCCTACCCTTACAAGGAAACCTAAATAAACTATGCTCCCGAAGGAACATAGTGTGCGTGCTAAAAAAAACTATACTCCCTATCTTTACATGGGAGCAAAAGAAAACTACGTTCCAGATGGTAGATTTAAGGTGAGGGAGTAACCAAATCACGACGATAACAAGCACTTTTAGAAAAAGCAAGTACAAAAAGGGTACATGTGTCATTTAAAGATGACAAGGCCAAACAAATGTACCAAAGGTGCTCGTAATAAAACCCCAATCTCCTTAATAGTAAATAAATCAACAATACCTTTTTAGGGAATGCTGCCAGCATTTACAAAATGAAGATTAGAAAGAGACAGTTACCCAAAAAAATAATAAATAAGAAATAATATTCATATATGGTGAGAGAAAGTGAGAGGGGCAATATCGTCATTCAAAACCAACCAAGGTCCTCAATTGTCTGAATAACGGTGATAAATAATGCATGGGTCATCCCAATTTTTGCATTTTCCTTGACCTGCAACATCACTAGCAAGTAACAATTACTAGATCCCCAAACTTATCAATCTCTCTTCAATTTTTTTTTTTATTCCCTGTGTTTGATTTTCTTTTATTGAATTGAAATTCTTTTGTTGTTGAGCTGAAAAAGATGTCATGATTCATGAATTGGAGTTGGCTTCTGATCCATGCCATTTCCACCCCATTTCTTCCTCAGAATCTCTGTGTTTTTTTTTGGTGAAAGGGTGTAATGGTGAATAAGGGCAGCATGGGCACTTTCTCAGAGTCACTGTTGAAGCCATGGCCTTTTAGTAAGCATAAACATGTGCTGGTTAAATTGGCTGTGGCACTCTTTCTCATGGGTTTGGCATTCAGGCTCTATTCCTCTCATGGCGAAGCAATTACACCAGTTTCTAATGTTCCAATCTCCTCTCAGATTGAGCTTTCCAGTGACCCACCTGCCATTGATTCAGCCAACGATGAAAACGGAGGTGGCTCTGAGTCGGGTCAGTTGAAGTCTCTCTCTCTTAATCTCACTCTCTTCTGTGTTTGGGTTTTGTGAAAGATGGGTTATTTATTTAATTTTCTTGAAATTTGTCTGAAATATTAGGAATGTGAGTTGGTATTTGGAATGTGGGATGGGTTTCTTCTTCCTTCTGTATTTTTAATTTTCTCTTATGATTTTCGTCTTTGTTGTTTTTTATTTTGCGGGGCAGTTGGAAATGACTTGAGTCATATAATTGAGTTTTGGTGAGGTTTTTCCCTATAACTTTGGAAATTGGTCCGTTCTGATCTTTTGAGGGGTTCCTTTTTTTCCTTTTCTGATTCTTTTTTCTGCTTCCCTGTATTTCCCAGTTCTTATTCCTTTCCTCGCTGAAATTTGTGATTAATATCTCTGACTTGATTGTGTTTTTTCTTATTGGTTTATTTATGGTGGTGGGAGGTGGAAATTGGTGTATGCCATTTACTTGGTCATTTGGGAACTTTGGATGTGTGTGTTTGTGTTTGTGTGTGTGTGTATGTGTGTGTGTGTGAGAGAGAGAGAGAGAGAGAGAGAGAGAGAGAGAGAGAGAGAGAGAGAGAGAGAGAGAGAGAGAGAGAGAGTAGTAGTACGTACGTACGTACGTACGTACGTACGTACGTACGTACGTACGTACGTACGTACGTACGTACGTACGTACGTACGTACGTACGTACGTACGTACGTACGTACGTACGTACGTACGTACGTACGTACGTACGTAACGTAACGTAACGTAACGTAACGTAACGTAACGTAAGTAACGTAAGTAACGTAACGTAACGTAAGTAACGTAACGTACGTAGT